ATTCTCAGGCTCGGCTTGATTGGCTGCGACGAAAGAGAGCTGGGCCCCCGCTCGGCTCCCCAGATACAAAGTGAGTTTGTGTGCCGTCTGCCCACGTGAGGCCAATCACAGAGGCCCGCGCCCCTCACAAGTCCCAGGGGACAGAATGCCAGCGAGCCTGGTGTCGCAGCCAAATTATCTGTGGCAAGACAAAGGAAAGCAGATAGCTGGGAAAACCAAGGCAATGTGGAAGCAGTGAGCCCACCTCCCTGGGGCCTCCAACCTGGGGACATTTAACCCTTCCCCCGCCACCTGGCTCCTGTCTGGAGATGGGAACAGCAACCACACCTTGGGCAAAAAGCCCCAAAGCCACCCTGCCACTCTCGAGCCTCCCATTTCCCCGAAGGGGCTTTATTCCCAGTCTTTCCAATGTTTCTGCACTAAAATTAGTCCAACCGTGCTTTCTAATTCTGTAGACACTACCCAGCTTGTGCAAATGTCCCCCTCTTCCATTTTGGGTGGATTTTTGCATATTACAGACTGCCAGTTCTGGCGGGGCTTCTTGGGGGAAGAGAGAAGTTGAAAACTCAACACATTGCTTAGAGTGCAACAAATGCTACGAAGCCCAAAGTTCTGATTTAGAGACAAAGCTGTGCATGACAGCTTGGAGGAGGGAACACGGGCAAATGCCCACCACAGATCACTCCCAATGCACAGGAACCAGAGCTCTGATTGACTTAACACTTACTACAGGACTGGGTCTTTCTCCGCTTTTCTCTATGTACAATTTTATTTGTTCTGACTGCACCCCTCGCCTTGAAGATGAAATGTTATTCTCATTTTACAGGTGAAGAAACTCCAGCTCCCTGAAGATTCATTGACCTGCCTGAAGAGGCCACTAAAGATGAACAGGTTGACATTTGAACTCAGAGCCCCTGGCCAGGAAGGTTAGTTCTTCACCTCTGCCTAGAAAGTCATATTCAATATTATTATCTTCATAAAATATAAGGCACACTCTACAAAGATGGGAAAAGGTCTGCACTCTGTAACTGCAAATGCAGACAGCAAAGTTGGATGTGGTTTGTGATACTGTCTTATAAAGAGATTGATGGTAGGTTGGTGGACCAGAGGGAAAGTACTAGAACAATCTCAGCCAAGAGGTTGAGTGACTTTCAGCTCTCTGCTCCCTTTTGTTGGTGCTTTTCTACTTCTGGTTGTCCTTCATGAAGCACGCACACCTTTGCCTTTGAGCTAGAGTGTAGGGCTAGAGTGGTCAAGCAGTTCCCTAGCATGGGGGAGCCCTGGGTTCCATCCCAGCCATTACCAGGCTCTGTGGTAATCTCAGCACTCAGGAAGTAAGAGACAGAAGGGCCAGGAATTCAAGGTCATCCTCAGCTACATAGTGAGTCTGATGCCAGCCTGCGCTATGTGAGACCCAGGGAGAAAGAAGAAAGGAAGTGCAAGAGGGCGGGAGACAGGGAGAGAAAAGGAAGGAGAGAGAGAGAGAGAGAGAGAGAGAGAGAGAGAGAGAGAGAGCGCTCTAAGCATGCAATGCAGACCTGTGATTCTAGTGTGGGAGGCTGAGGCAGACAACTGCTGATCTGAGGCCAGCCTGGGCTACTTAGTGAGACCCTGCCTCAAAACACAAAAAGAAATACATGAATGTGTATGTCTGTTAGGTGTGTGTTGTATCTGATGTGTGTTGTATATATCATATATATGTTGCACATGTCGTGTTGTCTGTGTCATGTGTTGTGTACTGTATACATGTCATGTGTACTGTGTGTTATATTGAGTACTGTATTGTGTGTTGTGCATATGTCATGTATTGTGTGTCATGTGTTGTATACTATGTAAGTCATGCATGCTCAGAGTACATGTCATGTGTGTTCTGTGTAGGTCATGTGTGTCATATGTTGTTCTTTGTCACATTGTGTGCTATGTGTGGTATGTTTATTTCTTGTGCTCTGTGTATTGGTATATGTATATGTCATGCATGTTGTGTGTTGTAGGGTATATACTGTATGATGTATGAATGTCATGCATGACATATAATGTGCTGTGTGTTGTATATGTCATATGTGCTGTGTGTTGTATGTGCTATGTGCATGTCATGTGTGTTGAATGTTGCATGTACAGTGTCATCTGTATCATGTGCTGTGTGTTATGTATAGTGTGTATATTGTGTGTGTCATGTGTCGTGTATGTATTATGTGTGCTGTGCTCGTGTGCACATGAGTTTCTTAAAGCAAACTAGGCCAACGGAAGCTGGAATCTCAGTTATTTAAATCCTGACCAAAACTGCAATTTGGGGACTTCAAAGTCATCCCAGCCCTGTTGCATCCAAAGTCTGAAGTCATCTGCCTCCTTGACCAATGCAGGCTACAGAGAGGGGGTGAGCCCTCTGGATGGTGCCCTCCAGGCATGGCCTGGGGAGGAAAGGGTGGCTAGGGAAGGTGGAACCTCCAGATAGCTCAGAAGGCTTCCTTCCTGTGGCCCTCCCTCCCCCTATCGGGGCTGCCCCAACTTTATCAGGAACCTTTGAACAATCTGGAAGACCTGGCCCAGAGACTAACGCCTATGGGCCTGGCAAGAGGCAGCTTCACTGATTCTAGGCCTGTATTTTTCATTTCTTGTTTAAACAGTGAGAAACACCTTCCCATACCAAAGCAGAGCATGACTTAAATCCAGATAAAATAAATTCCTAAACCTTGAAAACTATATGGAAATTTACAGGCCAATTTGAAAAAGTGAGAGCCTTTGTCGTTCCCAGAGGGGCACATTCCACAGGGCCAGGGTGGGTGCAGCCCAGGGCTCTGCCTCCTGGGGACCAGGTGTGGGAAGTGCCACTCAGAACTCATACCCCCTTGGCAGAGGGAGTGGGTCAGAGGCTGCCCTGCTCGGGACTCCGTGCCACTCTCTGGGGTCTCTTGGCTTCCCAGAGTCCTAATCCACTCCAGCCCCAACACCCAGCCTCCCTCCACCACCAGCTGCTGCAGAAAACCACAGTCAACTTCTCCGTGCTCCCGGCAGCCAAGTTTTCTCTAAGAAAACACGGAACAGAGGAGACCAGCTAAGTTCCATTCCTAGCGCTGGGGGTGGGTTGAGGCTGGCCGGGTACCAAGGCAGAGAACAAGGCCTGGGGTGAGGTCCTGGGCAACTGGAGGCTGCTGCTTGGTGTATGTGGGGGTCTTACAGTGTGCGAAATGGTGACCCACGTGGTCTGACCCATGGCTCAATGATGGGGGGGTCTGATCCTGTGAGATGCGGCCTTTCTGTGTGGGAGTTTATGTCTACTGACCCCCTTCCCCAGCTTCGAGCCTTGGGGGCGGGGGCAGACTCACCTGGGTAGATGGAGCCAGGATGCTCTGTGCCCTCTAAGAAAGGAAGACCCAAAGCATGGGAACCTTCTCCACCAGGCACCAGGCCCCGCTTCCTAGATTTCAAGGTTGACCTTTCTTGTCCCAGCAGACTGAGGGTGAGCAACAGGGCCTTTCTTCACCAGCCCCAGGGACTGCATTCCACCCTGCCAACCTCCCTAAACCCTCCCTCAACCCAGACACTGATCTTTGCCTGAAACTTTCTTCAGATCGCCCTGCCCCCCCAGTACTGCCCCCCACTTGCACTGCCCTCCACCCCTGCACAATAGAGAGCAAGATTGACATCAGAGAAATCAAGGTCGGTTGACTGGGATCTGAATTGGGGCTTGGAGGCCTACTAGATGGTGAAACAAGTAAAGGCATGTGCAGTGCAAGCCTGATGATGACCTTAGCTTGAGCCCAGGAATCCATATGGTGGAAGGAGGGAAGTGAACCCAAAAGTTGATTCTCTCTCTTACACAGACATAAAATAACATGAGTTGGGGGTTGGTCTCCCCTCCAGGGTCTGAGCCCTTACCCTCTTAACTACTATATTAAAAAGTAAAACCAGCTTTTACATGGTGCCCGCGGTATGCCAGTGTGCCAAGCACATTGTGTATTTCATGAATCGTCAAAGACACTCTACTGCAGATAAATCTGACCTTCCCATTTTACAGTTGAGAAAACTGAGGCTGAGAAAGAGGAATTCACTCCTTATGACCAGTGTTAAAAAGGGTCAGAGCTGAGATATGAACCCAGGGCTATTTTATTTTATTTTATTTTAAAATTACTGGGAACTGGAGCTAAGGCTACATAAGCCAAGAATGCCAGGAGGCACCTCTCTCACCATTTTATGTGGCTGTCGGGAAGTCACAGGATCTATGGTTGAGTGTAGACTTTACAGTGCAGCCACAAATGGGGGACACCCACTTCTCTGTAAATAATCCCCCCACCCTATGCTCTGTTAAAAAAAAGAAAAAAAAAATTACTGGAAACTGACCCTAGAGCCTCATGCATGCTCGGCATAAGCCATATATCCCCAGTCTGTTTTGTATTCTTTTTCACTCTATAAGCTAGGCAGGCCTTGAACTTGCTGTCCTGCTTCAGCCTCCCAGTTGCTGGGATGACAGGCCTGCGTCATCATTAACCTCGGACAACTTGCCCTCACAGAAGCTGTCAGAGGAAGCCGGAAGTGAGAGGACACAGGGAGGCCCCCGCAGTGGGATGGAACGTGAGCTTTCTCACTTTGGGGTGGAAGGGTGGCAGGCATGGAGGCAGCTGCCAGGCAGGAGGCTTTGCCAGAGCTTATTCTGCCTCCCAACTGCTTGTGCTCCCCCACCTAAGCCTGCCCAGACCCCAGCCAACTACTCAGTTCTGCAATTGGATATCCTTTCTTCACCTTAAATGCCCCCACCCCTGTCCGTCCATCTCTTTATTTACTATCACTTACTTTATTGCTTTATTGAAGTAGACTTGGTCTATATTCATGTGCACAGACTTAAAGTGGACAATTTGATATTTCAGCAGCATACACCTGGGATCCTGTCGCCATCACATTTACAACCTATTCACTCCAGTGAATACACTGTCACCCCAAACGTGTTCTCATACCCCTTTCTCATCCCTTCCATCCCATTTCCCAGAACCCAGATACACACTCACCTGTTTCTGTGTAGAATTTTGTATACATGGAAATAAAATACAGCAGTCTGACTTCTTTCCTTCAGCATAATTCATCTTAGATTCTCCATACTATGTATATTAATATTTCATGCTTTTTTATGACTGTGTAGTATTCTGTTGTATAGATACACCACAGAACTCTTTTTCCTTCCTCCCTCCTCCTCTTCTTCTTCCTCTGTCTGGCTACGTTGTCCAGGCTGGCTTTGAACTTAGGATCCTTCTTGGGGTCAACTGACCCTCCTGTCAGCCCCCAGAGTAGCTGAGACTGTAGGTCTGCCACACAGACATGCCATGGCTTGCTCCTTCCCTCTCAGTCCTTCCAATCTGGTTTTGATCTCCTCTGCTCCACCCCAGATTGCCCCAGGCCCCGCCTGACGTGAATCAGTGTGCTGGCTGTGCTGTGCTGTGCTGGCTGTGCTTCTTCCTCGAATCTTCCGTGAGTCAGGCAAAGATCTACGGTTAGCTGCACAGACAGATCCTCTGTAGAAGAAAGGCAAGGCTAAAGGGTGATGAATATTTGGTAGTATTTCTAGACATAGATGCTACACACACACACACACGCGCACACACACACACACACACACACACACACATATTTGCAACCTTCCACTTGTTTACAGCAGTAGATTATGAAGCCCCTCGGGATAGCGTTTGAAACTGAATCTTGTCCCTGAGTCTCTACTGCCCGGTACACGTAAGTGTTTAACCACACTGTTCTGTTGCTTAATTACATATTTATAAACCCATCAGCACTTGGGTATCGCAGAGGAGGAAATTATGATACAAGTCATTTGTACTTGTTTGTTGATATTCTTTGATATTGTTTGAAATTTTTACAGAGAGCTCTCTTTTCAGCTTACTTACTTTTTGATATTTTTATAATCTGGAGAAATAACAAGCTTTTGAATTTTTAAAAAATATGAGTGGGGAGGTGGGCTGGGTCAATCAGCAAAACACCTGCTGTGCAAACATGAGGACTCGAGTTGGATTCCCAGGTAAAAATGTACCACATGCTCGTAATCCTAGTGCTGGGGGAGGCTGAGGCAGGAGGACCCCTGGGGCTCTCTAGTCAGACAGCCTAGTCTACTTGGGGAGCTCCAGATCAATAAGAGACCCCATATCAAAGGAAGTGAATGATGTCTGAGGCTGATGCTTGAGGTTGTCCAGCCACTGTACTCACTTGCACAGATGTCCATACACACTTCCAAACACATACACACACCACCCCCACACACATAAAAGCACACACATGCAGTGTGTGAAATTGTAGGAATTTGAGCGATTTCCTTCAACTGAGAGGAAGCGTTGGAGTCTGGGCACCTGTACAATGCTATCTGTTGATGACTCTATAGTTGGAAAACCAAACCCAACCACCATGGAGTCAAGGTACCCCTCTTAATCAGCAGGCCTTCTGAATGGGTTTGGCAGGCACACAGCGGCTCCATGCATTTCCCAGCTTCCCCACATAGATCTAGTCACTTGAGCTCCTCCCTTAGGCTCTCTACAACCTTGGGGATTCCCCTAAGAATCCCCAGGATCCTCAGCTGGCTGCCACACTCGCCACAAGACTGGACCATTCTCATTTTGTGGCTCTCTAATGTGTCCTGCCATAGTCCTTGACTGGGCAGCAAATTGCAGGAGAGGAGAGAAAAATCACTTTGATACCTAGATAACATGAGCACTTCCAGCCTTTCATCCATTCTCCATCTACCCATTTATTAATTCAGCCTCCATCCATCCAACCATCCATCTACCCCTCCACCCCTCCATCCACAATGCCTCCTAAAGTGCTCAGCTGTCATCAGCTCATTTATTTAAACCTATTCTGTCCTCCTTTGACCATCTTTAACCTCTTGATGCCAATGATACCAAGATGTTCAGGACTTTGTCTGACTTACCTTAACAGCCAACATGGCCACAGGCTAGGACTTCCTGGTTACCAGGCACAGTGAGAAGCAACCAGAAAGTTCTTGGCTCAGTTCAATGCATATGAGTGGGAAGAAGTCCTTACCTGCAGTTCATCCCCTCCTTAATGGTTGTAATTACAGTTTCTTCTGCATCAGAGCAATCTTGTTCATTCATAACTGCTGCTGTGAAGGGCAGAAGTCTGTCTGGGTTAAAGGAGCTCATTAGAAACCTTAAAAATAAGCTTTTTGGGGGGGTGTATTAAATGTGCATATATGTGTCTGTGTTTGTGTATGCATGTGGAGCCCAGGGATTGATGTGGGGTGTCTTCTGTAATCACTCTTTACCTTAATATTTTGAGAAGGGTCTCTCACTAAACCTAGAGATTTTCAGTTGGGCTGGACTGGCTGGCCTGAGCACTCCTGTGTTCACCTCCCCCGCCCTGTTGTATCCGGCTTTTGACCAGTTTTGGAGAATGACATGAAGTCCCCATGCTCACACAGAAAGCATTTTACAGACTGATCTCCCTCCCCAGCCCCACCCCAAAAGAACTTTTCTTTTCTTCTTTCTCTTCCTTTCTTTCCCTCTCCCTCTCCCTCTTCCCTCCATCCCTCCCTCGCCTTCTCCCTCTCCCTCTCTCCTTTCTCATACAGCCCAGGCTGGCTTCAAACTCACTCCGCAGCCAAAGACAACTTGGATCGCAAGTGCCAGAAGCACCTTCTTTCCTTTCCAGTACAAAGGGCTTGACAAAGAAAGAGCTCCCTGGTGGTGTTTCTCTTTTGCTCTGACCAACACTGAAAACTCATCTGGATTTGGCAGGAATTTATTTAGGAAAGTAAGGGCTAAAAGCCTTAGACAACCTCTCTTAGACACAAGGCATTTCCTGGCAGGCTTCCGGCATGGCTGCTCTCTGGTCAGCTTGTCTTCCTGGGTTAGCCCGTGGTAGAGTGCAGTTTAGCCAGGTCGAATTATAACAAATTCCATTATTAGCACAGTTCAGATTAATGAGATTTTCCTTTACTTGAGTTTCAAGAGGCTAAAAGCCATTTAGTAACTTGACACCTCGTGTGTATTTCATTACTAGAGCCGCTTTTGAAAACACAGTTTGGTCTTTGGTTACCATAGGAAATTGAAAAGGCCCAAGGCCTCTGTTCCAGGTTGGATCCAAGTTTTATGTCAGGCAATTCATTTAAGCTTTGATGATTTTTTAATTTAAAAAATGCCCCCACCAATGTTTGAAAAGAAACTTCTCTTAGTACATGGTGGACACATGAAAGAGAAAGTGACTGGCTGGGCCAGGGGAAACAGGGGACACTGACCAGTACCCTGTCTGAGTTCTATGCAAAACAGAAGAGGACGACAAGGAGGAGAAAGAAGGCGGGGGGGGGGGGGGGGAAGGGAGGGGGGAAGAGGGGGGAGAGAAGGGAGGGGGAGAAGGGAAGGGAGAGAAGGGAGGAGGAGAAGGGAAAAGAAGAGGAAGGAGGAGAGAAGGGAGGAGGAAGAGGAGGGAGGAGAGAAGGGAGGAGGAGGAGGAGGAGGGAGGAGAGAAGGGAGGAGGAAGAGGAGGGAGGTGGAGAAGGGAAAAGAAGAGGAAGGAGGAGAGGCAGGAGGAGGAAGAAGAGGGAGGATAGAGGAGGAACCGGGAGAAGGAGGAGGAAAGAAAAGTAAATAAAAACTTTCAAACTTGACACTATTTTTCCCTGAGCCACAGTCTCAGAAGCTTTTCCTCGTGTCTTACAACCTTTCAAATTAAGTTGGATTTGTCCCAAGGACCAAATAGCAAAATTAATTCATGAACTAGGGCCTTCCAGAAGGGTTCTTTTCCCCTTTCATTTTGTTTAGTCACTTTTTATAGTCCTTTCCTTCTTCGAAGTAATTTGGATTTGATTGCTTCTTCGTGAAATTCTAATGTCAAGACTGTGTCTAATTTCTGTTTTATGAAGAAAACTGGAAACTATACAAAGGAATGAATTGAGATGCGGAGTCAAATAAAATCTGTAATGTGATAACTCCATCAACTCTGCCTGGAAAGATACTGTATTTCAATTAGATCCCCAAGACATGTTCTTACATAAACTGACAGCCTCTGATTGACAGCACTCATCTTCCCAGAAAACAATCGGAAAGGACACAGTAGTGAGCCAGGTTCCTGGCTGCCAAGGTACACAGGGGGCTTCTGCCTCAAGTTAGCCCTGGCCACATGGCCTGCTCCAGCAAGACAGAAGAATTACAAACACATTAAAAATTCCCACCAAAAAAAAGATTTAAAATTTAAAGTAATAATAATAATACTTAGCATTTAAACAGTACTTTCCATCTTCAAAGCACACTCCATAAACATCACTTCCAATTCTCTAGGCGCACGGTGGTCTTTGATGTGGAGAGGAGCTTTGTGCACAGTGGGGGAGATAAGGCCCATCCAGAAGAACTGGGCCCAATTAGCTAATTGCAAGGCTTTCATTTCTAGCCCTGCTCAGCTTCATTCCCCTCTTCAACTACCTTTTGTTTTCATTTAGAGCCTCTTGGGTCACCTAGGCAGGCCTGCTGGTATAAGCTAGGCTCCCATCCAAGGCAGTCCGTAAGACCCACGTGGCATTTGTCCCCCAATTCACAGTGAAATCATAATAACAGAAAGTCTGAATGTATTATCATTGGTTTTCTTTTATTCTCAGCATTTGCTTTTAGTTTTTCAAAGGTATAAAATGTCCATTTATTTATCAGATGAGAAGATAAGAGACAGTAGATTTGTTTGGGGTTTTATATTTATATTTTTTTATCCTTATTAAAAGGAGAGTTTGGTGATCCCCTTTGTCTGTTTCTGGAATCTTCTCTGGAGACTGTATCCATGTGTGAAGATCAAGGAGGCTTTGGTTTGCTTACCCTGAGAACCACAGAAGCTTAAAGTTGATCTTTATCCCCTTTAATAATGCCTGAGAGTTGGGGATGTGGCACAGTGGGTAGAGTGCTTCCCCAGCATGCAGGAGGCCCTAGGTTCCATCCTCAGCATTACAAAACTGGCCATGGTAGCCACACCCATAATCTTGGCACTTGGAGACAGGAGGATGAAAAGTTCAAGGCCATCCTTGCTTCATTTCAAGTTCAAGGCTGGCCTGGGCTACATTACGCCTTGTCTCAAAAAAACACCACCAACAAAAAACTTTTTAATAGTGCCAAGTGCAGGTTAGCCTGTGGTGAACTAGGCAGTCTGAAGTCAGTCTCCTCTTCTTTTCTCTCAGTGGGGAAAAAAAAATATTGCTATCAGCTTTTGTGAACATCTATTAAAGCCACTGTTGTTCATGTTCCGTGACATTTGTGTGTGTGTGTGTGTGTGTGTGTGTGTGTGTGTGTGTGTGTGAGTGCAGGTACCTGTGGAGGCTAGAAGAGGGTGTCAGATCCCCTGGA